TTCATCAACATTGCCAGTCATATTTGGAGGGAATTTAAACCTACAAAACAAAGAGACATGATGCAAACCCAAATCCTTTCTAAATGTGCTTAACTTCTTGTATAACCTATAGTATCTATCAACATCATCACCATTTTTATAGTTTTTATTTTCCTTTCATATCCATCGCATACCAAAGAACTCCTCAAGTTTTGTTGAAGGCTGTAGCTCGAGCCATGCAGAGAGGTTGCTTCAGGTGTACGACAAAGATTGTGGCGAGCCATCAAATTATTTGACTTAGATTTATTTTAGTGGCCACATTGAAAGCATGTGCACACCATGCAGGTGTGCCAGACTCTGCATCCACCATCAGGACTGTAATAAGTGGTATTTATGCGACCCTTACAAGTAATAACGGTACTTACCGTAATCACAGAGGTCCGATTAAATGAAATTACTCCAACCACTTCTGTGACTTTACCAAACAGTTGTCTTTAAAAATAGTACCTGCACCAGATGCATACGTTTTTTGTTTTTTCTAGTTGAGGGAGCAGAAAACAGATTGATTTAGTGTAAAATGTCTGCAATAGCAAAGCTGCTGCTTACTGAAATCAGCCTCAGCACACATTTTATTACGCAGGTATGTGATGCCTTTGCAGCTGGTGATAAACGGTTACAGTTGTGCCACTTTTGCAAGTCCCGACAGAGAAGAGTGTGACTCATTTTTCAGACCTTTAAACCCAATAAGATGCACTGATTGTACTTTGACCTCTGAAGCAAACTGCATTGCAACCATAGCTGTTATCACTTAATTGTAACTCCTCCGTCCATGGACCTTTTCACGCCTGAGTCACTGATGGAGGCGCTCATTACAAACAAAGAGAGGCAAAGGGTTCTCAGAATCGGATTACTGCAATAGAAAAAGGAAAGCCCACAGCATTGTTGTGTAAGTGACAGCTTGTCATTCATTGTCATTTGTGGAAAATCAAAAGTCTCATAAAGACAAAATTGAACAGGCCATTTACATAACTGAAGCTTTTTTTATGGTAATATTAAACCTTTAAATTCAAGTTCGTATTCAACCACATTTTTATGTTTCTTAAAAAGCATAGCCAATGCAGCATTTTTATTTTTTTAGCCTATAAAGGTTATTAACGTGTTTTTCTGTGCTGCCCATGCTGTTCATTGTGCAACTTCCTTTTGCTTTCAGTAATATTCAGCCAAAAAAAATCTAAAAATCTTGTGCAAAATGCAGATTTTTCATCATTTTTATGCAAAAGTCCAACATCTGTGCAAACTTCCAATCATCTCTCTGAATGGGAATTTTAAAATCTCAAACATTTGAAAGAGTTTCTGCATGTCCTGCGTTTAAATTTTAAAAGTTCTGATTAGAGGGACTTCTTTTTTCTGCAAGTTGTTTGTTGTACAGTTGCAAAAAATGTGTTTTTACTTTAGATGACCGCAAATGATTTACCTAAAATAATTCTTCCAAAGGTGGTTGGACATTATTATGTGGCATTGTACAATATCTCAGGCTTATGCAACATTTTGTCTAAAGCTGTTCAGCTCTTAAAGGATGAAAAGTCACTTTAGAGAGGTAAAAGTAAGTTACATCTTCACATGTTCATCCTTATTTGTCTATTAAAAAAAGAAGTTAATTATTGGTGCCGGATCCATAACCTCTTCTTCAAACGTTGTGGAATTTAAAGGTAAAATAATCTACTCACAATTTCCTTGTATCTCTTTAAATTGTTTTATAGTTTATGTAAATGTTAAAAAAATATACACTTACATGTTATTTTGGATTTAATCCTTTTGGCACTGTCTGTAAGATCAAAGTGCTCTAGTTCATTGAAATTAATTTTATGCGTAATTAGAACAATTTGTGGTGTTTTGTAATTATTTAATGCATGCTTTTTTTGTAACTTGGCATAATAAACCATAAATCAACTGGCTCCCACTATTTATCTATCTATTTAACTTCAACCAGAAGCCTTCAGTTACTATTTGATAAAACTCTTACGCAGAAGAAACTTTGTTGAAAACGAGTGCCTTGGCAGATGGGGTAACATCTGTAAAACGGGAAACCGAACCACTGATAGGTCACAGGAAATTCTCTGAAGCTTCTGAGAGCAGGCTGACCTTTTCCTGGAAGAAAGGAATGAAAGTTTATAAAACTGTAAAAGCAATTCTTTGCTGGGTTAGGAGGCCACTTTTCTTGACATGTTATATATCGAGAAAAGCACAATACTTTACGTGATGTGAGAGAAAGAACGACAAACGCTTCTCTCAGATGGTTTCATATAAATTAATACTGAAGCAGAAAGAGTTTTTAAAGTTTTAACAGATTATGTAAAAACAGGACTAAAATTTATAATTTTACCAATTTTAGACCGTATTTTGGATGTTTTTTCTAATGAATTGGGTCTTTATTATAGTTTTATTTTTATGTGACCTTTTTAATCTTACACACGAAATGTTATTTATTCGCCTCGCTCTGTCCTTATCAGAGCCTCTTGCTCTAATTAGCCCCAGGTTCTAGCTTCTCATTCACCACCTGCTTTATGTTTTAATCAACTCACCTGTCATTTGTTCATCATCACTCCTGTTACTTTTAATCTTTTTTCCCTCAGCTTTACTGTAATGTTCAGATTAAGAGCTAAAGATGATTGGCCTTTTGCAGCATCTAACCCAAACTTTTGGACCAATCAGACATTCAGTATTTACGGCTCAAAATGTCGAGCTTTAAAATCCCTACTTAAGACGCACCTGTTTACTTTTCATTTCATTTCCTGTATGTTTTAGTTGTTTAATTTTAATTACTTCATGTTCTGCAGAAGCCTGTTAATTAACCATTAATTAAAATCAGGTGTGTTGAAGCAGAGCAACGACTAAAACATGCAGGATGGTGTTCCTCAAGGACCAGGGTTGGGAACCCCTGCATTAAACAATCATGTTACAACTCAGTGCAGGTTTAGTTCATTTCTGACTGTCACAGAGAACTTTGTATTTTACATTAAATATAAATTCATCTTATGTGTCTGTCTTCACAGCAGGAAAATACTTTGCTCAAGGTGTTTTGAAATAATGATGAACCCTACATTTATCAAAATAAAACGAATACATCTCATGAATGGTGGATATATTTTAGTTTAGTTTATTTTGCACAAGTAAAACACATACCAAAGATATTAAGAAAACAAAATAATAACAGTTCAGGAAGAGGCAGAGACTTGTATAAAGCCTCCACCCAATACATATAATTAATACAAATAATACAATCCAAGAAGACAGTCAGTTGATCATAAGTTTAGTAATACAGTCATACAGAAAATAAAAACACATCTACAAAGTATTAATTGAAATTTGAATAAAATATGTAACAATTTAAAAAGTGGCAAGCACATTTTTTCCATTAAATAACGTTTAAACTCTTTTACAGAAGGCCTGCCTGTTACCAAATGTGAAAAATCATTCCAAACTTGAACTCCCCCTGTAACTGAGAAAAAACAGATCTCTACTGGTCTACTAGGTATTGTCCATGTATCTGTTTACTGCAATAAATTAACTCAAAGACCATTGTAGTGAAGACATTTATTTTTATTTCGCCTGTTTCTGTGTTAAGACAGTTTAGAGAAGGAAAATCCACTGCTCTGACAGATTATGTTTAAAGCTACAAAAGTTAGAAATATATACATTTTTTAAATTCTTAAAATTTGGGGAAACCGTAAGACTGAGGTTAAATTAAAACTAATTTAGTTTCAACCATCATTTAAGCGCCCCGTATTGAATATTGTCACCTTAATGTCAGTCATAAAAAGTATATTTTGTGCAGGAAGGTGCTGGATGGATGCACAGAAAAAAAAGTAAAATCACTTTTTTTTTTTTTGCATTGCCATTCATTAAAATAGCAGCAAATAATTCACAAATATAATTCTAAGAAAAAGGATCTAATGGAAAATAGAAAACATTTGCACATATTATTTTTTTAAAGGAGTTTAGAGTTGGGGAGAAAAAAATAACTTTGGATTTTAGAGTTGTTTATAAAATGTATCATACATCCTCTGTCTCAGATATTTGAGATTATCTCTCCATCCCGTATCCATTATACATCATCCATCCATCCATCCATCCATTTTCCTGACCCATTTTATAGTGCCATTGTCCAGTGGTCATTGTGGGGCAGTCAACCTCAGAATATCACCATTAAAACTTATATTTCCCTTTTATCCAGTGGTGGTAAGAAGACTTTGAACCTGTCCAGAGGACATGACTTAACTTTTTTAGATAAAGTCTTCAAAGAAAATGTAAGAATAAAAAAAAACTTGAGGGTTAAAAAAATGTAAAACAGAAAACATTTTAAAGTTCAGTTTTGATTCTCAAAAATCAGGCTCCAGATTTTTGTTATAAAAAAATGAAATGGGTGTTGCATGACTTTTAAAATCAAATACTATAAATTCAAAATTAATTGGCAGTAACATGTTTTCAACATGACATTTTGAAAACAACACTTTTTTTTAAAATCAGTAGTTATAAATTGTTTTTTTTTTTTCTGAAATGGACCTTAAGTATCTTTGTCATTATTTAATTGTTTGATATATTTAGAGCAAATAAACATTTTAGACTGCAACAGCTGAGCTTGCCCAATTGTAATGAAGGTTGAAAAGTTTAATAACGACAAAAAAAAAGTGTAAAGTTGGACTCTATAGAACTGAAAATTTTGAAAGGACATGGAAACAGCTTAAATCACTAACCTTAAACATATGCTTTTTAAAATTTCCTTAACAAACTACTTTTAATTAATTATTGTTTAAATAATCACGTTTAAATAAAGAGTACAAATTAGAGAATAATAAAAAAAACTATTTGCAATTACTTTATTATTTATATTTTATACAAATGTGGTGGAAAAAAATGTTTCAATGTTTATGGTGAAGATTTTATTTTATTTTAATAGCCACACTACCGACCAGCAGGTGGCGCTAGAGAACAGTTCATCGTTTTCCAGCCAACATTAAACTCACGAAGAAGAACCGCAGACAGGCAGGGCTTTGAGTTACAACGGCTTTAACATTTCGGTCACAGGGGATAAACAAAGGTAGGCAAATCTAACTTCAAGTCTCTTTTAACCAAAATAAACATGAAGCTCGATTCTTTCTAACTGTTATAGGTAGCTATGCTCGGTGATAGCTTCATTTTTTATACTTTACTTCGTAGAAGAAAATGTACTAAGCTAACGTTAGCTTAGCCCCGCTGTTAAGAGATCACCGATTATTTATTCGCTCACAAAATATTTTATTCAAAGCGTTTCATTAGAGGCAAAACATCTCTTCATGTTCGAGGTTGTTAATACATTATAATTATATAGTTGTCAGTTAATGTTATGATTAAATATTCGGTTTTTCCCTCCCTAATTTTATTATTATTTATATTCCATATCAAAAGAGCTAACGTCAAACATTCTTATTGATACCTTGGCCTTTCTTTTTGTTGAGCTGCCATTAACTCTACGGTTTTCTTTCACCTGTCTGTTTTTAGCTGTGTGCCTTCAGTCCAGCATATGGGGAAATAAATAATCACATTTCGACGAGAAAAGGAGCAAAACACTAAAACACCGTTTGGACCGGAATCAGAACAGACAGCCTAACATCTTATTTCTTATTTCATCGAAGACAAATGTGTTTGAGTCATGGATCAAGGTCTTGTGGACAGTCCCGTTATCCTTGTCATCAGGGCCCCAAACCAAAAATACAATGACCAGACCATCAACTGTTACCAGAACTGGACTGTGGAGAAACTCAAAGCCCACCTGTCTGATGTTTATCCCAGTAAACCTGTAAGTACATATCACACTGACAATCAAAATGCACACTTTATTCTGTCATCCATAGTCTTTTCTTACTTATTATCAGAGTCAGAGAGTTTCTTTATTGTCATTCGCACCTCATGTGGTACATGTGGTGGAGCGAAATTATGTACACAGGGTCCCAGTTACATCCAACAATAAAATGTATAAGAAAAACAGTAATAACATCTAAGATATGAACTAAGAAAAACATCAACTAAATATACACTAAGCACTCATAACATAAAACATTGAACATCAGCACAAATATGAATTATAAAGCTGACAATATTTTTTGAGACTCCAGCCTCCATATTGCCCATAAACCACAAGTTAAATCTTGGATTTGTATTCGCCCTAAAATTATTACATGCTTGTAAAAAACAAGGAATATTGCTGAAATCAACTTGAAACAAGTGTTTCTAGTTAATCACAAACCTTAAAATAGTTTGTAGTCCCAACATCTTTTGACATTTGTAAAGTTCAAACCTTGAGTGAGTTGTGTAAGAGCATTTCTGGCTCCTCTTAAATGTCATAAATGCAGGACAGGTGGGAACGAAATTATCTTTGCAACTATTTTAGGGTAGAACTTACACAACCAAGAGTGTTTTGTTCGGTGTGTGTGTTCTGCTGAGCTTCCTTCATGATTTGATATCGCTGATGACAAATCTTATAGTGATGTAGACCTTTTTTATCTACTCTGTGAAGAAAGAAATTGTTTTTTAATGGTTTTTATTGTTTTGCTGAAAAGAACCTTGAAGTCTGTAGATGTGATAACGCTCATTTAGATTTCCGTGTTATTGTTCTACTAATCAGATTGTGTTCTTTCCAATCTGCCTAGAACTTGTTCTGATGCAATCTTTTTAAACACTGAGAGACACTGCTGCACAGTAAAGCTGTGGAGTAATCTCTCTGAGGGCTTTTGCTTGTGTAGTTTAAGATTAACTGTGATATATTTAACAACAAGGATAAAAATAACTTCAAGTTTGTCTGCATTTAAAAAGAAGTTTAAAATTTTTGAATGGGAGTAGAATGAATGTAGGCTTAATGATGACCTGTTTTGACCTTGTTGTACTGGTTGCTAAATCCACTGCTAAGACCCACTTATCTTAATTTAGGTTACTACGATCTCATCCTCATTACTTACACAAGTTGTCTGCCCTTTGATGCTGCAATCATCCACTTTTCACAGTTTGTTGAGTTCCATTCTGAAACTTAAGTTTGAAATCCAGATTTTTTTTTTTTCACCAATTTGAACAGTGTGTTAAACAGATGTATGCAGCTGATCATAATAATAATGATCTTTTCCCACAATTCTCTCCGGTGATCTCGTTATCGATATTTTGACTGTTCAGAGCTCCAAAGACCAGAGGCTGGTGTATTCAGGAAAACTACTTTTGGATCACTTCACCTTGAAAGATGTGCTCAGGAAGGTAAGTTCTCAGAGGCTTGGCGCGCACAAAGAAGTTTTCCTGAAGTCTGATGAAGACACTTTTAACAGAAAAACAACCTGAATGTTCTGCAAAGAATCTCTAAACCTGTGAGGAAAACTCCTGATAACGAGGAGCTTCACGTACTTCATTGTAGTTGTGCAGAAAGAAGAAAGCTTTGTTAATTTTTTTAAATAACATTTTTAGATTTGCTGTTAGGGAAGTGGTTGGCCAGCAGTTACAGGTATGTGTCATATTTAGATGTCAATAAGTTCTTAAAACAATATGATTAGCTCTACCAAACATCATAATGCTGATCTGAACGTTTGTATTTTTTCAATTTATTTGCAGTTTAGTCAAAATTTGTAGGAAACGTCAAGCTTTTTGCTTTTAGTTTTTATTTATCTTTTTTTTTTTTTAAATAAAGCTTGTGTATCTTTTGTGCTTAGTTAATTTTAAAAACGTTTTCTCTCGGAATAGATCCAGATGTGTTCAAACAGAAGCCAACATCCAAAGAGCTTCAACACTAAACTGGATTTAAAACGTGTTTAAACTGCTGCTGCGAAAGAGAATAAAACCTCAGCGACGAGGAGAGACGAGCTCGTTCTTTACGATCTGTTTTAGTTAGACTTGGGAACATGTTTATCAGTTTTTTGCACGTTTGATTCACACAGGACTCATGTTTTTATTTTGTTTCGACACGTCATTATGAGCCTTGGCAAATATTACACAGATATTTTTTAAAAAGTCATGTTTTTGCACTTGGTTACAAAGTAAATCCTTGTAAAAGTTCTTTGAGGAGTTTGATCTTGTTCGGTTGACGAAGTCCTGAAGGAGACGCAACACTTGGACTCTGGGAGGTAATGAGCTGTTCTGGTCTCCACAGCAGGATGAGTACCATATGCTCCATCTGGTGTGTGCCTCCAGAACCCCTCCCAGCTCCCCGAAGCCTCCCCGCAGCTGCAGTAACAAGTCTCAGGAGAGCGCAACAAGTCCCACGGTGGGTCAGCAGCAAGCCTGTCACACCTTTCGATTCATTTCATCATCGCCACGTTTCCTTTCATCATACGGCCTCGCTGCTGTAATCTAGACCTCCCAGAGGATTTAAAATTGTTGTGTGTTCTTATTTCAGTACTATTGCTAATGCTCTGAATCATTCTCCTCCCTGGTAACAGGCCTCTCAACGTTCTAATAGTCTTAATGGACAGGTGTCTACAGCAGGGAGCAGTGATGGGATGAGGCAGCAGGCTGGAGCTCCTCCTTATCACCAGATGTACTCACAGTTCATGCAGAGGTAAGTTTAGACTGTGACACTTTGACAGCACATCAGGGCAGAAGTGCTTCTGACCCACTACTGGAACTTCAGGGTTTTATTTTGTAATTGAAAAAGAACATACAGAAATATAAGCTAATACTTGTAAGGGTTAAAATATCAATCAATCCATTACGTTTACCCACTTCTTCCTTTTTGGGTCGCGGGGGTCACTTGTGCCCATATGAGAGGTGTATGAGAGGTGGGGTAATAAATTGAGGCAAAAGTCTTTTTGTGCTTTCTGGAATGTTGCAGTAATAAAGTGAAGGCGCAGGCGTGATGGAAATAGTTTCAGCAAATTCAAAGACGTGTTTTTACACGATTCAGCATTAATGAAAAATAAAATGTTTTATTTACTGCGACTAATAAATATTTCTTATTGTCGCACAGTTTTTTTGTTTTTTTTTAAGTAGTGTTGAGAAAATAATCTTGTGTATTTAACAACTAGAAATTAGCTGATACAGTTGGTGGTGCTGTATCTTTAAACTGCTCATATTTTAAGAAGTAAGAGTTTTTTTATCTAAAAGTTGTGAATCAAACATGTTCACAGCCTGAGTTAAAAAAAAAAAAAAACTAGGTTGGCTTTCAGACTTGATAAACACCAAAAGAATGATGCCAAAATGAAAACTATGGATCACAATCATAATATTGTCACGCCTGTTCACAGTAGTGTAGCATGATGTACATGTATGTTCAAGTATTCTGGGCTGTGGGAAACTGTTACTTAAGGTGCATCTAAAAAAATAAGGTTATCGTGAAAAAGTTTTCAGTCATTTTAGAAACTCAAACTCATATATTACATAGAATCATTACACAGAGAGTGAAATATTTCACGTTCTTGTAAGTTTGATGTTTATGGCTTACAAATAATAAATTAAAAGAACAAACCAGTGTCTCAAAGTTAGAATATTCCACAGTCAGCTTTTGGTTCTTTTGTCAATGTGGGCAGGAGCCAAGTCCTGCTGGAGAATGAAATCTGCATGTTCCATAAAGCTCGTCAGCAGAAGGAAGCAGGGAATGCTCTAAAATGTCCTGGTAAAACACAGTGGACCAACACCAGCAGAGCACATGGCCCCAAACCATCACTGACTGTGGAAACTTCACACTGGACTTCAAGCAACGTGGATTCTGGGCCTCTCCACTCTTCCTCCAGACTCTGGGACCTTGATTTACAAATCCATCCGTCTTTACCGCTTATCCGTAGTCAGGTCGTGGATGCAACATGTCCAGGAGAGAAACCCAGACATCCCTCTCCCCAACGACACTTGCCAGCTCTTTGGAGGACCCCGAGACATTCCCAGGCTAGAGGAGAGACAAAATTACTCCCAAGAATTTCTGGGTCTTCCCTCCTATCAGTGGGATGTGCCTAGAAAACCTGTAAAGGGAGGTGTCCAGGAGGCATCCTAATCAGATGCCCAAACCACCTCTGCTGACTCCTTTGGATGCGGAGGAGCAGCAGCTCTACTCCGAGCTCCCTCCAGATGACGGAGCTCCTCATCTCGAAGGCTGAGCTCGGACACCCTATGAAGAAAGCCCATTTCAGCTTCTTGTGTCCAGGATCTTGTTCTTTTGGTCATTATCCAAAGCTCATGACCAGGTGAGGGTTGGAGTGTAAACAGAGCAGTAAATCGAGAGCTTTGCCTTTTTACTCGGCTCTTCACCACGACTGACCAAAGCAACACACTCATTACTTAGGATGAGGCTTCGATCCATTGATCCACCTCCCACTCCATCCTACCGTCACTCATGAACAAGACGCCCAGATACTTGAACTCTGAGACAAAGTCTCTCACCCCCGGAGTGCATTCCAACTGTTTCCAGTAGAGAACCACAGAACCGGTCCTCCCCAGTGCACGCTGAAGGTCTTGGCTTGAAGACGTGAACAGAACCACTGAGGTTCTCAAACCAGACGCCCTGGGATCCTGTCCTTCGGAGACCAGTGTCAGCCCTGCTGGAGTCCAACCTGCACTGAGAAGGAGCTCAACTTTGAGCCAAGAATGTGGACTTAGCTCCTGTTTTGGTTCTACAGGAACCAGATGGCCCTTAAAGGCAACCCAGGTACCCCATTCTCCCGCAGCACCCCCTCACAGGATGCCTCGAGGAACAATCATAAACCTCCAGATCCATAAAACACATGTAGAAGTAGAAGCAAACTCCCACAACCCCCTTGGGTCCATTGTTCCACAAACAGGACAGAAGCCACGCTGCTCCTCCTAAATCTAAGGTTTGACCGTTGGTCGGAGCCTCCCTTCCACATGATTTCCAAATTTCATACAAAATGTACTTTCATCTGAAAAGAGGACATTGGACCACTGAGCAACAGTCCAGCTCTTTGTCTTCTCAGCAGGTAAGACACTTCTGATGTCTCTGGTTCAGGAGTGGCTGGACTTGAAGAATGAGACATTTGTATTTATAGAACATTTTGGAGTTAATCAGCTGATCGGGGGTGACATCAGGAGTTTACAATATTGAACCTCTTCACAATATTCAAATTTTCCGAGACACTGAATTTTGTTTTTTTCGTTATCTGTAAGCCATAATACAATAAATAAAGGCTTTAAATATTTCACTCTGTGTCTAATGAAACAATGTAATACGAGTTTCACTTTATTCAGAGAATGACCAAAAAAACCAACCTTTTTTCACCATTTTCTAACGTTTTGAGATGCACCTGTAATGGAAAATAAATGTTAGACTGAAGCTGTAGCCTGTAATCAAACTAAAACTCGTATTTCTGTCGTGTCTCATCAAGCCTGAGGAAAGTTTTGGAAGATTTGAAGTTTAAACAGATTATCATGTAATTTGTATGTCGGTGTTTTTGGTGATGTGTATTTTTCAGCTGGAGTCAGAACTCGATGAACGCCCCCCCGACGGGCATGCCCACTTACTACAACCCCCTGACACTAATGTGGTGGCAGCAGCTGTACTTCAGACAATACTACATGCATTAGTAAGCCCATTCCTTTTTTTCCGTATCAAAATTTATTTTTAAATGGAGATAAGAGTTAATAACGTCTTCCTCCAGTCAGTTACTGGCCGCCTCCTCCCAGCACCTCCAGCCCGACCAGCCCAATTCAACTCAATCCAATCAGTCTGATCCTCTGAGCCGGCGGCCGCAAGCGGGTCGCCACGGCAACCCGGAAGTCCAGATGAACGCCCAGGGAGGGGAGATCCTGAACGAGGAGGAGCTCAACAGGGACTGGCTGGACTGGGTGTACACGTTTTCACGAGCTGCCATTTTACTGAGTATAGTTTACTTCTACTCATCCTTCAGCCGCTTCATCATGGTGATGATGGCCATGCTGGTGCTCTACCTGTGAGCGACCTCGTCGTTGTGCTTTACACAGTCGTTTAGGTTTTTCTTTATATTTACTGTTGTTTCTGCTGGTCTCTGTGAGCAGGCACCAGGCTGGCTGGTTCCCCTTTAACCTGGAGAACGACCTGCAGCTGCCTGGAGACCGGCCCAATCAGGAGGACGAGGAGGCGGAGCCACAAAACCAAGATGCACAAGAAATGGTAAACACCTCATGCAGAACATTTGGTCTGTTTAACAGGTGAACTCGATCGGTAAGCTTCAGTAAATAAGTATTTTTACTCATCAAAGGAGAATATTTTTTTTAATAGTGAGTGATTTCTGAAGTTAACTGGATCTTATCAGGTGCATGCTCACAGCTGCCTAATGAAATGAATTTCACTAAGTGGATTCTGACTTGTCCGCTCAGGAAGGGGTGAGTGACGAGACCTCAGACGACGACGATGGAGAAAGTGGAGAGGAAGGTGCGGAGGATCCCAACAGCGGCCCTAACGCAGGCTTCCTGTCCTCCACCTGGTCATTTATCATAACGTTCTTCATGTCCCTCATCCCAGAAGGGCCACAGAACGCCGCTAACTGAACGCTGGGCGCCACGAGCTGCTGCAGATCTCGGAGGAGGGCGACTTCAGTCAGTTTCCCCACACGTCTGCTTTTGAGCCAAACTTAAGACGTTCAGTTTTTAATTTTTGTAGGTTTGGTTGTCTGTATCCTGAACAACATTTCAAATTGTCAAATGACACAAATTTAAACCCACGTACTGAAATGGCTATAAATTTCTTGTCAAGAGAAATGGCATTTATTATGGGAGGAGGACAACAGCTCAGTTTGACAACTTGTTTTTGTAATGAGCAGCAATATTTGTTGAAAAGATTCAGCTTCTGGTTGTGAGTACACCAGTATAAGACACTTTAAAACAGACACTTTAACACAAATATTAACTCTGAATAAGAATGAATCGTGTCGCACTTATTCTATATGAAACTGCATTAAGTGTGTGTTGTGCTAACCCAATGTGGTTTAAGGATTTATTATTTCTTTGATCAAACTGACTTTGAGCTACAGAGACAGCTAACAGTGTAAAATACACATTTCACCATTTGACAGAGATTTTTTTTTAAGTATATGTATGTATATAAAAATGTTCCTACAGTTAAAATATGCACTGCCAAAATGCAGAAATCATGACAAACTGATCTGTTAAGCTTTTGGAAATGACTGCTGCTGTTACTAACATGTAAAAAAAAAAAAAAAAGAATTTTCTTCATGTTTATTAAAACTGCATCATGTGTAATGTCTGTTTTTATGCTCATTTTAATTCCACATTTCTGAAGCTCCTTTCAGCTTTTTCCCACTTCCGTCTGGTAGTTTAAGCTTCTTTCTGCCTTTAGCTATTGTTTTTTGGTTGTTGCTGCTAATTTCAGTTTTAACTGGGTTTTTTTTAGCCCATGTTGCTCAGACAGGATCAGGATTTAAACTTTTCATTCATTCGTTCAACCTTTATTTATACAGTTAGTCTCACTGAGCCACGAGGACTCATTTTATGAGAGAGACCTGTTCCAGCAGAACATATAAAGTACAGTAAAAATGCAGTTAAAATAAGAGTAGTCATAAAACAAATCAGGGTGCTGTAAAACAAGGTGAAATACTAAAAAAAGAACATATTTGCTTTGATGTTTCTTTTGACCTTATCACATGTTTAAAATCCCCTAAAGAAATCAAGGACAACTTCAGTTCATGTTGCAAGGTCTTCCAGGACACGGGAGCAGAAAAGGCCTTTTTGCCAAGTTCAGTTCGCACAGAGGGAACGCTGCAGGTAATGATGTCCTGAGAGCGCACGCTGTAACTGCACGGACGACGTGACATGGGAGGAGATATATGAAGGCAGCAGACCAAGGAGGGATTTATAGATGAAAATGAACCAGTGTGAGAGTCTGCATGTAGATCATGTTCTACTGACCAAGGAGTAGGGTGCAGTGATGTTACGGTAGTTACAAACCTGTTATGAATTTTAGCGTGCCATGGTAGACTGCATCCAACATCTGCAAGCAGCTGGCAGGAGTATTCATGTAAATAATGTCACCATAGTCAATGGAAAGTAGTGGTTACCAGTTGGCCACATTGCGTGATGGGTTTTCTGCTTGTGTGAACCCAGTGTCCATGGCCTGTATTCTGCAATCAGCTGTGAACGGATTAGGTTCAGTTAAACTTCTTCGGTGATTTGCTGATACAACATGTACCATCAGAGAGCAGTCCAACACGTTCCTGGAAGATGAAACATCTGTAGTAACGCCGTGCTTGTATGACAATCTCTGGAAATGGATTCACTGTGGCTTGAACTTCAAGTTGCACACGTGCCAGTTCAAAGTGCTTTCTTTATTCCTACAGAGAAACACTGAACACAGGGGAGGTGTGATTAATCAAATACGTCAAAACCCCCCGGGTGTTCTAATTTGTCAGAAATTGAAGGATTGAATTGGAGCTGGAAAAAGATGTGATGCAGTGGTTAGTCCTGCAGCGGTGTCTGCTGCCCCCTCCTGGGTTCACTTTAGCTTCTGTTAAATGGGACAGAGTCCTTGCTGCTAGTTTTATTCATTTAACTCAACATAGATTTGCATTATTCATCTTGTTCATACAAATATGATTCATCACAAGATGATCACTAAAAAAAATGAATGCATAATATCTGCACCCTGAAGTTCTTTGCATGTTTTTCCTGCTTAAATAAAAAAATTAAAAAAACTGTGGACTGGACATGCGTTCAAACCAAGCTTGTAGATTATTCATGGCTACAAAAGGTAATTAGCAGATATATATTTGTACTTTTTATGCATCACTCTGTTGGAAAACGAATCAAATGATTAGAATATAAAGAACATCTGGGGAAAAGAGTAAAAGCTATTTTATTTTATTTTGCAGATTTTCAAGACTCAAATTCTCAGATTTTCTGACAATTATTGAATAATTTTTTACATCAAAACATCTTTAAATTCACTATAACCACCCGTGTTTTACACTAGGGTACTATGACTGCCTGTGCATACAATTATTGAATATAGGAAACTTTTTTCCATCAGTTTCAAATATATTTTGTAACTTTACAATGAATTTAGTAAACAAGCACATTTTTACAGCAACATGTTTTATTCCCTTTTTTTTTTTTTTTTTACTGCTCTGTTGTTTTATTATTCTGACAAAATATTCCAAGTAAGACTGTTGGAGAAAGGCACTGGCTTCCTGAAAGAAAAAACAAAGAAAAAGGATGGATTTTTATATTGTTTTCTTTAAAAATACTTTCACCGCAACATGCAAAACTGATATATACATATATATTTCAATTAAAGTCTTCATATGAGCCTTTTGTGCTGCATGTTGTCAACATAACAGCAAAGAAAGTTTCCAATAATGTCCCTGTTTTAATTCATGACGTGGCAACTTTAGTGGTGCATGAACCAAAACTGGAAATTGTGGAGAATGTTATTTATATAAAACTTACCGTATTTTTTGGACTATAGGGTGCACTTAAAATCCTTTGATTTTCTCAAAAATCAACAGAGCTTTACATATTAATTCTGGTTGTGCTTACTGACCTCATACTAATTTTATGTGTTACAAGTGAACAATGTTGAGTTATAGTGAATGAGTTGAATAAAGTTCAACTTATCTGTTTAGTTTCGCTTAATGCGCCTTATAATCCAAAAAATACAGTCATTTTTTTTAAAGAAAATGCAACAACACAAATGTATTTTGTCCCTTATCCAGGCCTGGAAAACACTAAAATCAAGTTTCCTGCTTTCCCAGCCTGATCGAAGCCTCAGGTTAAATAAACACAGCAGGAAAGGAGAACGTGTTCCTTTTATTGCTTTGCAACAATCAGTCCTGACAGAGAAGTCATCAACAAAACGACAGGATGCAAAGTTCTTCACCAATGGTTTGTGCATCAGTAGAAAGATATTTCACTGCGGTGGTCCTGACGGATAAATATCACTTTATTATTTCTTCTAATTAAAAGTGATGCTGTGAAAATAGGGTCTTTAATAAACTATATCATTCAAACTTTCTACTGATTTATGTTCACTTTGGTCAGTTTTAAACCACGAGTGAAGAGCAACACCTTTACATTACTATTTATTCTTGGCAAAATAAATAAATACATTTATTTCTGACAACGACACCACAATAATTTAATATTCACTAATTATTTAAATATAAAACTCTATAGTATCAGTAACTTGTCTTTTTTGTTGTTGTGGTGACTAAATACAAGAGAGCAGAACAGACAAACAGCGTTTAGTTACATTTGTAAATGAAAATAGTTGAAAGTTCATCTTCTCCTGTTGGAGGCTCAGGCTACGACTCACACCGACGCACAACAACACGACAACGAACAGAAGCAGCACGCTTTGTGTAACGAGTGGCCCGTCTTTGGAGCTTGTGCGCCGTCGTGTGCGCCTGCACGTTTTTAATAATCACACTTTTTGCACATAAAGAGCGTCAACAAGGCACGTAAGCTAATCGTTTTGTGGAACCGATACACACACACACGAGCGCACAAAACGTTGCACGAACATCTCTTTGCCAGAATATTAAAGGAGTTCAGGACATTGAACTGTATTGAAATACTTATTGCTAAACCACGACTGCACTCGGCAAAATAATACAAATAAAAAACACGTTTCTAGAATATGAGATTTTTCTTCTTCTTACGTATCCAGTAGAAATATTTTGCATAAAATGATCTGGAACACATCTGTGTACGACAAACAAATTCACAATACAGACAGTTTAGAAACGAGTGCAACTACCTGAGATCACAAATAGTCTCTTCTTTATTTGCACTTCCATATGTTTTATTATTTAGTAAAATAGTTTTGACGCCAGCGACAAAAGAAGGGCAGGCTGCTGCCTCGAGTCAAAATCAAATCAGAAAACATTCAAGACTCTCGAGTCGAGTTTGAATAACATTTCTATGAAATACTGAGGGAAGTTATCCTTTTCTGGACACAATATAATCTTTGTTGAATCATAAACATTCCTAGCAAAGTGCTTACTGTACAGTACAGACTTCATGGCCTCTGAAGTGGCTTTTCTATTACGATACAAATGAAAAGTACAGATTTCACACAGATAAAATACTTTGAGAACAGACATGGGCTGAACAGTGAAAACTGACCATCGTTAGAGCAGCGATACCAACACTGTAATCCTCCAGAGAAAGGAGGTTCCTCATGAATAAATCCATCGTTCTGAATGTGGCTCTGTTTTTTCGTTTAATTCGCTCTCAAACTCCAACGGTACTTTAATGGCTTTTGAGAGGACTCCTTGTTTTTTTTTTTTTTTTAGGCTGGTGTATCGTCATGAAATGAATCAACCCTAAACAATGTTCTGACCCACACCAGTGTCCAGTCTCACCACCAGCTGAAATAACAGCAGACGTGAGTAAATCCCAATAAAAGTAAAGTTCTGTTCGTACAGTCTGAGACCCCCGTCAGTAAGGCCGTTCCTTTGACATCCGGTAGAAAAGGATTGTATCCTCTTAGCAGCTTTTCTAATTCTTTGAGAGAAAAGCAGATTGTGGCGCTCCAGGTCCTCTCTGCTGTCCGAAGGGCTCCACGTCGGAGTGAAAGTGTTGTGAGGATTCAGGAGAACGGGCGTCCAGGACTACAGGAAGGTCTCTGTGGTGGAGCCCTCTCCTGGTGTCTCCGGGCCGACGTCCACTCTAACGCAGGCCACCTTCTCTAGGCTGAAAGAACAAAACTAAATCAGTGCTCGTTCAGATTTATGGTTTAAAAGGGTTAAATTCTGTTAGGTAAGATAAATACTCTGTGCACGGCTGGACCAGTTAGTGCAACGGTAAAATATTTAGCAGCTAGGTTAGGCTAAAACGGGAAGAGATTGTCCCAAAATTCTTCTGTTATTGTTTTTTAAACTAGTTTCTGAAGGAATTTTCAGTTTCTTCTCAATAAAAATATGTATGACTAGTTTGCTTGTAGTCAAGGCTGCAGAAATCTGGATCTACACTGAACAAAAATATAAACTCAACACTTATGCTCCCATTTTTCATGAGCTGAACTCAAAGATCTAAGACTATATTTCTATGTACACAAAATGCCTTTTTCTCTCAAATACTGATGACACATTTGTGTAAAACAGTGTCACTTCACAGAAAAGCAGTCAGTATCTGGTATCATGCAGTGCAACACATCTCCATATGGTTGTTGATGGTGGCCTGTGGAATATCGGTCCACTCCTCTTCGACGGCTTTAAGGAAGTTGCTGGAACACATTGTTGTATATGCCAGTCCAGAGCTTCTCAAACATGCTCAATGGATGACAAGTTGGGTGAGTATGCTGGTCATGAGAGAACTGGGATTGTTTCAGCTTCCAGGAACTGTGTACAGATCCTTGCAACATAGATTATTATCCTTCTGCAACATGAGGTGATGGTTGTGGATGAATGGCACAATGGGCCTCAGAATCTTGTCACAGTATCTCTGTGCATTTATAACACCATCAATAAAATGCACCTGTGTTCGTTGTCCATAGCGTATGGCTGCCCATACCAGAACCCCACTGCCACCATGGGCGACTCAATTCACAACGATGACATCAGCAAACCGCTCATCAACACAGCGTCATACACGCAGTCTACCATCTGCCCTGTACAGTGAAAACCAGGATTCATCTGTGACGAGAACACCTCTCCAATGTGCCATACACCATCGAACATGAGCATTTGCTCATTTAAGTCTGTTACAACAGCGAACTGCAGTCAGGTGGAGACTCTGATGAGGATGACGAGCATGCAGATGAGCTTCTCTGAGACGTTTCGTGCAGAAATTCTTTGGTTGTGCAAAGGTGGATGGTCTCGGAGGTGAAGATGCTGGATGGGGAGGTCCTCAGCTGGTGTTGTTACCCGTGGTCTGTGGTTGTGAGGCCGGTTGGATGTTCTATCAAATTCTCTGAAACGTCTTTGGAGACGGCTTATGGTAGAGAAATGAACATTCAGTACACAGGCCACAACTCTGGTGGACATTCCTGCAGTCAGCATGCCAATTGCACACTCCCACAAAACTTGCAACATCTGTGACATGGAGTAGCCTTTTATTGTGGTCAGCCTAAGATGCCTGTACAATAATCATGCTGTCTAATCAGCATCTTGGTATGCCACAGCTGTGAGGTGGATGGATTATCTCTGCAAAGGAGAAGTGCTCACTTACACCGATTTAAACCAATTTGTGAACGATATTTGAGAGAAAAAGGACTTCTGTGTACAAAGAGTTTTAGATATTTGAGTTCAGCTTGTGAAAAATGAGAGCAACAAGTGTTTTGTTTCTGTTTTGGTTCAGTTTAAAATTATCAAGGCATTCAAATGACTGTATTGGAAAATTAACCAAATAACATAATATTCATATTAAAGTTTTCTGATTATATAACTCATTAATGTATTTATAATAAAAACATTCCTGTTAAAAGTACTCGTTGAAAAGTCAAAAAACTGGAAAACATTTTTAAATAAAGTATTAAACAAAATATGCACAACATCTCAACGGTTACTGTGTTCTTAAATTGTCCTTTTTCTTTTAGAAACACATTTACTTCAATATTTTTACTGAAACTTCTCAGAGATTTGTCTGACTCCAGCATATTCATGTCCCCACACGGACTACAGCCAGCCTAATAAAGGTCAAACTCGTTGTTTTGTTTACATTGAGTGCGTACCTGCATTTTAAACACAAGTATCAATATATATCTGGAAATTAACTGAAGTAAACCTTTTCAGACTGCACTTGTTTGATAAAGCTCAGGATCATCTTTATATTTGGTTTCACACTTTGTAATGAGTGCCTAAAAAACTAGCTTAAATATATTTATAAAAACAGGAATAAATTTTAACTGACGTTCAATACTAAACGCTAAATTTATATTTATAATTTTTGATATATTTGAACGAGCAGCAGTTAATTTGACCCCATTATTGAAACATAGTCCTAAACATGGCAGAGATCTGCACTCACCTACTAATTATAGTTTTGTTTTTGGATCTGGACTCTAATGTATGTGTGTGGGGGGGGGGCGGGGTGCAGGGGCTCTGGAAAACTTCAGGAGATGACATAGCTACCTGTCGCTACGCTTCACGGGTTGGGCACAAGACTCTGCGCTCGAGTTCACTGCTTTCCACACTGCCGTTTGGACAATGTCATCAGAGATATTTACAACCAAGGGGTCAGAGTCGGAGCTGCATGCCGAAGGTGCAAACACGAACACAGAGAGAAGACAGGCACGTGGACGTCAAGCCAGCAGACACAAACATGCATTTAAATAAGAGACTGGAACACATTTACAGTGGGAAAAAAAAAACATGGCTGACAAGACAAATCACAAGCAGAACATTCCAACCATTCAACTGTGAGAAAACATTAAGACAAAGGATGAACTTATTTCGACAGCACAAACATTTGAGCACATGTAACAAGATTTAAAGAAAAGCAAAGCAGTGTGTTTGAAAGTCATTTAGTTTTGTTATTTATTAGCTAAAGGATGAGAGTTTGGGTCAAACTGCCTGAGTTTGGGTAAAAAGAGTTAATCTGTGGTGGCTTGGGTCAGATGTTTTACATCAGACACACACCCTGCTACCTCTTCTTCCACTGGAGGGCTGTGGGTCACTACTTCTATGAACGATCTGCTCAAGATGGACAGAACAACACACAGCTGTCCAAATGACTATTTCAGGAGATGCTGCTTACATTTTCTGGGTTCATAAGGAATTTTAAGCCATCAAAATGTATTTAGCTTCCAGACCATAAGATTAAACACGTCACAGTAGATGTTGGTGTGACATCGTAGACTTACAGGAAATAGACTCCATGCCTTTAAAATTGGCTTTTTGTCAAATGAAAGGATGCTTTATGGAGGGTACCACTCACCTCCCTGAAATACTGTACCGGGTCGAACCTGCAAACCTGACTTTCACCCCCATCTCCTCTTCTTCCTGCACGTCTGACTCATCCTCCTGAAAGAAAAAAAAAAAGAATTAAAATGTTGATCACAAACAAAACTTTAATAGTTTTTACCGTTTTACTGATAGTATGCAATGTGTGTGTGTGTGTGTATGTGTGTATATATATATATATAAACACCTTTTATATCTGAGTTATTTTGATGGAATGGCCGATATCGTGCACCCCTAGATTTACATTAGTGAGGTGAGTCACTGCAAAACACTCAAAGTGAACAATTTGTACAGGTAACTCTTTAATGAGGACGTAAAGATGAAGTCTTATAAATTATTTGTGACTATGAAAACACGCCCGCTCACATGGCTCTATATTTGTTGTTGTTTTTCTTTCAGCTGCTTCCTTCTGCAGGAGGGGCCACAGTGAGAGAATTCACATGAAAGATTTGGCAATTGTTTTCTGCTGGATGCTCTTTGGGACACAACCTGGGCTCAAACCTGCAGCCTCAGGATTACAAAACCGCAGCACTGACCACCGAGCTACCGCACCACCCACATATTTATACATGTATAAAATAAAATAAAATGTTTACCAGATTTTGTGCTTCCAGTTTTTGGTCATCCTCCGTTTTCTTTTTGCTTTCTGGCATCAGGTCATCGAGCCAGCTCAACTCTCTCTTAGTGAAAAAAAGGTCCAGAAACTTTCGGATAAAGACCAGCGCCAAAACCTGGGGCCAAAAACACAAAGTAATTATAACTAGAGAAATTATATTTCCTGCTAAAATGCAGTGCGAATGCTTATTGCAGAAGAACTTGCTGAAAAACAGCTGAAACAAGATAAAAACATGCCGAATTGTAGCTGAATGGAAGAACAAGCCTAAATTAGAAGAAGCAGAAACAACACATTTGTTGAATTAGGTATAAATTTGCAGAAATTAGCACAAAAATTAGAAAATTAGTACAACACCCCTACCCCTGAAATTAGCATAAAAATAGCAGAAAGTTAGCTGAAATGGCAGAAGCTTAAACTACCAGAAGGAAGTAAAAAGAGCTGAAATGAGCAAGAAAATGTGGAATTAGCTGAAAATTATAAAATTAGCATAAAACAGCTAAATAGTAGCTGAAATATCAGAAAAAGCTGAAACTAGCCCCCCCCCCAAAAAAGCTGAAAGGAACATAAGCTTAAATTACCATAAAGAAATGAACTACCGGTAGGATGAAAGTAGCAAAAAATTACCATGACAAACTTGAATTTATCTGAAAACAGCTGAAATTGGCTACAAAGTGTTAAAATGGTAGCTGAAAATGTAGAACAAGCTTAAATTAGCAGAAAAAAGCAGAAAGAACACATTTGCCCAATCATGCAGAAATAAGCTTCCTTAGATAGATAACTTTACTAATTTGCTTTTCTTTGTATGTGAATGCTCCTGTAAAGTGCACTGAGACATCTATGTTGTGATTTGGAGCTATATAAATAAACTGAATTGAATTGAATTGAATAAGCAGAAATTAGCACAAAAAAGACGAAATTTGCACAAAAACAAGAAGCTAAAACAGCAAAAATAAGCATAAGTTACCAGAAGGAAGTGGAGGGCAAATTTTTGCACAATTAGGCTGAAAAAACTAGAAAGGAGTGCAAAATGGTGTGGGTTTGGCTGAAAAAGCTAAAATTAGCATACAATAGCTAAATAGTAGCTGAAATAGCTGAATAAGCTGAAACTTGCAGAAATAATTTGAAATTAGTAGAAGCATAAAAATGTTGTAGTTAGCAGAAATAATCAGAAAGGATGACAAAACAGCTGGAAAAACATCTGAAAATAGCTGATTTAAAAAAAAAATGCACAAAGAAGCTGAAAGAAACTGAACAAGGACAAAATGTGAAAGGAGCAGTAAAGGGTTGTAAACAGATCTAAAGATGTGAAGGATGTAAAATGAGCTCAATTCATTTTCTATGAGGAAAAAAAGTGTCAGAAAAGGTTAAATATTTCAAAAAGCCAAAGTTGCACCAATAACAAAAGTCATAGCAGGATTGTCCTGAACAAGCTGAACGTTTTGATTTATGAGTTGCTGAAATAGCACAAAAATTGTGGCATGAGAAAGATGCTGAAAAATGTACAGAAGAAAAATGGGTCACAATGGTGTGAATGCTTCATAAACATTCACACAAAAAAAGGCTTCCTATTAAGACTCTTAAAATAGAAGTGACCCAACAATAATCAAGAATTATAAAATGTAGCTGCTTTAGAAATTATTGCCAAAAAACGATTAAATAAATCAACTAAATATCAGCACTCATTACCATCATGGGGAATACAACAGCTGCTGCAGAGGCCTTGATTATCCAGAGCAATACCAAACAGGTGAGCTGCACCAGAGTGAAGATATGAACCTTCCACAGCGGCACGTAGCGCAAGTAGATCAGATCGGGCTGGTGCTTTGCAGGCATGCCAAACAGTTTGATTCTGTCAAAGAACTAAGCAGGAAAAAAGAGAGATATAAATGAAAAGCACTGCAAAGAGCGAGGAGAACACGGTAAAAAAAAAAAAAAAAACACGCGTTCATCAGACCCAGAAACAAAGTTAAACGCTTTCATGGCTTGTGATTTGCTATCAAGGGTTTTGAAGTTCTGGAGGGAAACAGCCTTAAAAACAGCTCGTGAATCTGTTCTGCTTTGATTTAAAGGGGTTATTATCTTCAAACGCGGGCAGCGCAGACTCTTACTTGAATGCCTTTGAGCGAAGAGACACCCATGTAGAGAAAGACTCCATACAGAACGGGCATGGGAATAAACTGGAAAGAGCAGACGTGAAGAGAATAAGTCTGCAGCTCTTTATAATAAGACCAAAACAAACATAATGTCTGCCTGGTCTTGACATAACACACTTTAGCTACACGCTATTAAATAAACATTTCCTCCTTCTTCACCTTTAGCACTGACGTCATGAAAACAGAGCAGCCCATGAGGACAAAAATCATGAACCCCGTGACCCGCTGCTCCCGAATGCCCAGAAACTTGGGCTGCTCTCCTGGTGCTGAGCAGCCGGACTCCACCTTCAGGCTGTTTACGTGGGAAATGGACAGGACGGTTGCAGCCACGAACCACGGCAAGCCCATAATGGAGCACACCCCCAGCATTACTGACACAATCAGCAAATCCAGGTGATAGCCACAGCCTTTCTGTAGGATGCACAAGGATAAACGAATAAGAGCACCGTAAACGAACAGCAATGGCCCAGACAAGCAAAGACCTTGTATAACTTTTGACCTTGATTTTATAACCCTGACCTTGGAGCTGGGGTGATGAAGCGTACATGAGACTCTGTCTAGTGATGAGGCGTATGGGTATTTATTTCATAAAATGAACGTGTGCGGATCAGGAGTTATGGGCAGGACAAAACGTTTACGGATGGAAACGGTACATCACACATCCACCTTTCAACAGGCGTGTCAAAAGACCGGGAGGAATAAATTCAGGAATAAAATTCACAAAAGAATATGTTCAGCATTTAACTATATTTTAAATATAAAAAGGACTGAGGGACATTTACTGAGGGAAAATTATGTTTGAATATTATATTGTTTTGAGGCAATTTAGTTGAATTTAGGATGACAAAATAAAAAAACTGGTTGGTAAATAAATACAGGTGTAGTGCAGAGAAGTTAGTGCAGCTGAAGAGTGCATGTAACTTTTAGCTTACACTCATCAATATTGCATCTAATATAAACATTAACGCGAAAGCAATCATCATCGTGATTAGGGACAGTTTCTGTCTATTCCTACTTGCTCAACAGGTACCATCATTAAATAAATAAATAAATAAATAAATAAACCTTGTCATACTCGCAATTTAATTAGAAATCCATTATGTGCAGCTTAAAAAGGACCTTAAGCTATCTGCCTTGAGCTAACGCTGACCTTTAATTTGTGCTCTTTGCGGTTGATGATGACTGCAGTAATCTGCTGGTCCATAAAGATGAGGATGGTGCAGAGCAGAGCAGGAAGTGCTGCCACCAGCAGCGTCCACCAGGGATTATCTCCTAATGGATCCATCAGCCAGCCTCTGTTCTTTGAAGTTGGCTGCACAGAAAAGGAACAAGCACATTTAGCATGTTGTTACGTATAAACAGTAAAACACATACATGTTTAAAACTTCATGCCTACCTCGAAGCGGTCAGGAACATTCAGTTTAGGACTTGGGATTCCCATCAGAAAATCCACCAGCACCATAATCATGATGGTTATAAACACAGCAAAATCACTGATAGTGGAACGCACCTACAACGCACACACACATATATAAAATTACATCTTTTTAACTTTTATACACAAAGTCCCTTCACTTTAACCACCTGATTTCTGTAGAGCTTAAACAAAGTAATAGTGTGAACGTTTATGAAGAATTCACACTATTGTGATCCATTATTCTTCCGTACGATTTTCCGCATCTTTATCGTTCAACAATTTTTGTGATATTTCAACAAGTCATATGTCAAAATGTTCAGTTCTTTCAGGAAAATCCTGCTATGACTTTTAGTATTGGTGCACCTTTAGCTTTTTGAAGCCTTTTCTGTCTCTTTTTTTCTCATAGAAAATGAACGGAGCTCATTTTACATCCTTAAAATCCTCAGATTAGTTTACAACCTTTTACTGCTCCTTTCAAATTTTGTTCTGCTTCAGCTTTTTTCAGGTTCCTTGTGCAAATTTGAACTTTTTTTCAGCTACTTTCAGCTGTTTTGCACTCTTTTCAGATTTTTTCTGCTAACTACAACATTTTTGTGCTTCTTCTAACTTTCTGCTAATTTCAGCTTGTACTCCTTTCAGCTTATTTATGCAACTTTAAGCATTTTCTACTGTCAGCTACTCTTTAGCTATTTTTATGCTAATTTTAGCTTTTCAGCTAATTCCACAGTTTTTGCACTCAGTTAAACTTTTTTGAGCTAATTCAGCAACAATGTGCTCTCTTCACTTCCTTATGGTAATTTGAGCTTCTTTCTGCTCTTTTAGCTACTTTTCAGCTGTTTTTTTTTCTCATTTCAGCATTTTTTAAATAATGTCCACTTTTTTGTGCTCATTTCTGCTTCTTTAAGCCTAAATGGGCAAATATGTGTTCTATCTGCTTTCTTCTGGTAATTTGAGCTTGGTCAACTTTTTCAGCTACTTTTTTTATTTTTATTTTTTTTTTTTAGCATTTTTTTTTTTTTTTTTTAGCCAATTTCAACTGTTTACAAATAGATTTATTTTTTGTGGTAATTTATGCTAATTTCAGCTTGTTATGCTCCTCTCTGCTTTCAGATAATATTTAGCTGTTTTACTGCTAATTTTAGCTTTTACAGCTAATTCCACATAGTTTGAACTCATTTCAGCTCTTTCCACTTCCTTCTGGAACATTAAGCTGCCTTTTCAGCTAGTTTTCTTTTTTTTTGGTTGTTGCTAATATCAGGTTTTTTAGCTAATATCCTACTTCTTCTGCACATTTCTGCTGTTTTAAGATTAATACAGTAAATATGTGTTCTTTGTGCTTTCTTTATGATTATTCTTCCATTTCAGCTAGATTTCAGCTATTTTTTTTTAGCTAATTTCAGCTGTTTTTCAGCAAGTTCTTCTGCAATAAGCATTCACACTGCATTTTCGCAGGAAATGCAATTTGTCTAGTTATATTTGTGTCAGCAGTTAAAATCATACAAAATGAACATGTACCTACACCAAGTGACAACAGACTCTTGTGTGTGAGGATCGAAGAATCTCTTTTCTTTCTGAACACGAATGTAAACATTTACAGATCGTGAGAAGTTTTTAGATACATCAATCCACACTTGCTTATACACAGAGGTAAAACATTATTCTGATGTGTATGGATATTATCTATTTATTTATCATAAACATTTCATATAACGTAAACTCTCACTTTATGTTTTACAGGAGCAGAATGTGGAAACATCTCACCTTGGTTGGGAAGTATCGATCCGTCTTAAACTGCTTGAGGAAGGAGGATAAAAAGAAGGTGGTGAAGAAGAGGATAATGGACCAAAAGAGGACGTCTGGGATGTAGGGGCCATGGTGACCACAGGCAGGACCCACAAAATCCCCATGAAAGTGCTGGCACATCTGAAAAAAAAAAAAAGCCAGAGTGGATGCAGCTATGGAAGAGGTTTGTGTGTCCTTGACTAATCATGACACAGAGCGGAGCAGAGCTAACAGCTGGTGTTACACCGAAGTGGTTTACATAAGATCAACAAGTTCGCCAGATTGTTGACCTTGAATGATTTCCAGCTGTCAAATTAACCAGCATTCCCCTCCTTCTCTTGTTTCCAGTTTTCCTCTGACTCATGTACCTGTGTTATTGAAGGTGGATGTTAACGCCTGTCATTGGCTGATTTATTTTACAGTGTTTGAGAAAAAAAGACTTAACAATAATGTTCCTATGAAACATGAATAGCTCATTATTATGTAACTTGTGAAGGCGATTCCTCTTGAGATCCTGCTCTTCTGCCGTGTTTTAAACTCTCTCCTCTCACTGAGGATCAGCTCATTTATGTGACTAATTATCAACAATTTGCCGTCAATCAATCTGTCAGTGACTTTTTTTAATAGAAAAAAAATAAAACCCTTCAATTTTATTGAAGGGAGAACTAGACGAGTGTTTAACTTTCAGTGTTATTGAAGGTTGAAGACACAATAATTAAAGCATCGAAGCATAAAGAGAGCGGTCTCATTTCACCTCTACAGCTCTGCCTGGGAACAGCCACACATGGTGGTGGTGCATGTAAGTGAGCAAACTGAAACATTTTCCTTCTCCAAAAATAGTGTCCATATTCAAAATATGAGATCCAAGTAAGGATTTTTATCCTTTTTTTGTTACATGTTTTAAATAACGACATTCCCCAAGGTTTGAAAACATTTAAATGACTGTAAGAATCAAACCCGTTCATCATTTGCTCTGCATCCCACACATGACGTTGTAATTGCTATCTTCTACACTAGAGGTCACTCTGAGTCTTACCGAAACATTGAAGTTGTGCCACGGGATCGAGTCCGAGCTGAGGTAACCAGAACGGTTCCACTTCTGCATGAGCAGATCTGATGCATTGGCTGGTGGAGAGCACTGACACCTGCGGAGAAAAGAGCCAATAACAAACGTCTGCACGTTCTTCTCAGGGGAAATAAAACAAACATTTATTTCCATCTAAAGTGAACCCAGGCTGTAGATCACACTGTCCCAGCTGTTCTTAAATTTACTTATAAATTGATTTAGAACGTGCACAAGAACCCCTAATGCCATAGATGGATGGAAAAACTACATGACCTTTAAGTGTAACTTTGAAAAAAGCATTTGGTAGTGCTCCTCTGTTAGAATATGATTCAGCTAGGGTAATATATATGCTAAACTTTCATGCAGTTCTGTATAATTATAAATAAAAAAAACAAATGTATATTATTAAACTAAAATTGTGTTTAATTTTTTTCAAGCCAAAAACTTCTTGCCGGATACTGGAATGCCTTTTTATCCAAGCACTTGTGAGATGATTAAAAACAAAACACTCGAATTACAATTTCAACATCGCACACTCACGAATAGAAGGTGAGATTGTCTAAGCTGTTGTGCATATTGACCGGGTAATATTCTCCGAGGTGAAAGAGCTTCTCCAGGGCCTCGTAGATGAAAATTATGCAGATGAGAGCTGCGAAAGCTTCCTCTGTGAAGCGAGTGATGTAGCAGACCAGTGAGCTTGCGTCTGTGGCTACCAGCACCAAACACAGGAAGGCCGTCCATAGGCCGATGCTTGTTCGCAGTGACAGGTAGGACAAGCTGTAATCACTGAGAAAGACAAACATAATGTGGTAATTACATGTATTTTTGGGCCTATTAAAGCCTTAAAACCCACATGCTCAAACTCACTTGCAAAACTTGAAGAGGATCTTTTCAAACACTAAAACAGGCCCAGTGCTGCCAAGAATGGTGAGGGGCTGGCCTGCAAAGAGGGAGTATGCCACCCCTGTCAGAGAAGCTCCAAAAAGAGATTCTATTGCACTCTGTGGAGACAGAGGAAAGGGAGGGAGTGAGGGAATGAGAAAGGGAAAACAGGGAAAGTGAAACGATAAGGAGGATTGAGAGGGAAAAGCTGAAGAAGAGAGAGGAGAGGCGAGGGATGGCACCCCAACCAGAAACCAGAGAGCTTGGATCAAACAGAAATTTTGGGCTGCGTCAATGAAATGTCCAAAAGCTTCCACCCCACTGACTTCACTGAATTCATATCTCTGTGAAGCTCTTGCCTGCTGAGTTTACTTAGACACATTTCACACATCAGCTGACAGACAGTCGGAGCTAATGGTAAGGGCATCTGGATAAAGGGCAGAGAGGAAGAAAGAGGGCGGTAGTAACAATACGTCCAACGGTTTGCAGCTAGATAAAAGGAGAGACAGATGGGAAATTATTGATCATTTGATAATGTTTTGCTTTGTCTGTGTATTTATTCATTATGTTAATTGACCTAATTCAATTATATGTTTATATATTTGCATAGTTGACCATACCAAGGCAGACGCCATGGGAAGACTGTTACATCAAAGGAGTGCAGCTACTTATTGTGTGACTGTTTATGAAGCATTCAGACTATCGCCATCCATTTTTCTTACGTACGTTTGTCAGCACGATTCTCTTCCCACAGTTTTCAAGCTATTTAAACTAATCATATATTAAACATTTAGCTCTTTCAGGACTGCTATGACTTTTTGGTATTGCTGCAACTTTAGCTTTTTGAAATATTTAGACTTTTCTGACACTTTTTTCCTCATAGAAAATGAATTGAGCTCATTTTACACCCTTCGGATCTTTGGATCTGTTTACAACCTTTTCCTGCTCCTTTCACATTTTGTTCTGGTTCAGCTTCTTTCAGCTTCCTTGTGCAAATTTAAACTTTTTCCCATCTATTTTCAGCTAATTTTAGCTGTTTTGTGCTCCTTTCAGATTCTTTCTGCCAACTACAACATTTTTGTGCTTATTTAACTTCTTTTTGTTAATTTCAGTTTGTTATGTGCCTTTCGGCTTATTTATGCAAGTTTAAGCTTTTCTACTCTTTCAGCTACTAATTAGCTATTTTAATGGTAATGTAAGCTTTTTCAGCTAATTCCACATTTTTTGCTCTCATTTAAACATTTTTCAGCCTAATTCAGCAAAAATGGGCTTGCTCTCTCCACTTCCTTCTGGTAATTTAAACTTCTTTCTGCCTTTTTAGCTACTTTTCAGCTGTTTTTTTGTTTTGTTTGTTTTGCTAATTTCAGCTTTTTTCAGATGATTTCCACTTTTTTTGTGCTAATTTCTGCGTCTTTCAGCCTAACTGGGCAAACATGTTCTTTCTGCTTTCTCCTGCTAATTTAAGCTTGTTCTACATTTTCAGCTACATTTTTAGCACTTTATAGCTAATTTTAGCTGTTTTCAGATAACTTCATGTTTTTGTGGCAATTTCTGCTACGTTCAGCCTAATTAACTTCTTTCTGCTCCTTTCAGCTTTTTCTGCTAGTTTAAGCTTATTTCTGCCTTTTCAGCTACTTTTCAGCTATGGTTTGCTAATTTCAGCTTATTTAGCTAATTTTTGTGGTTATTTCTGCTTATTTTGAACTAGGTTTATTTAAACCTAGTTCAGCAAAAATGTGTTATTTCTGCTTTCTTCTTCTAATTTAGGCATGCTCTAAATTTCAACTACATTTCAGCATGTTTTTTTAGCTAGTTTCAGCTGTTTTCAGCAAGTTCTTCTGATATAAGCATTCACACTGCATTTTCACACGAAATGCAATTTCTCTAGTTACCATTTGTGTTGCTTTTTTTCCTTAGATGGACATATAAATTAGACTGAATGGTGAATAATGGTGCTCAAAGATTCCCATTCTAGAAACAAACTTGATTTGTCTGCACTCTGAACACCATAATCCTGAGAGATTAGTGTTTTCTTCATAACTTACTATGTTGCCTTTCGTTGCTTCTCCAAGCAGACCTCCGAATGTGATGACGGGGGACATGCAGGCGCAGTAGAGGAAAAGGATAGAAGCTAGACACTGAAGACTGAGTGAATCCCTAATGTCGCTCCAGTAGAAGGGTGCTTTCCGCTTCACATCCAGGACCAAACCTCCAAAAATCCTGGAGGAGCAAAGAGGCACGTTGTGTTTGGAGTTTTCAAGCAGCACTGTAACATATCATTACACGTCAAAGCAGATGATTTTAAAATCTATTCTTAAGCTTGAAGAGTGTTTAAAAACTTGAGATGCTCAACTCTCGTCATGCTTGAGAGTCTTTTCATTCCATTTACATGAATAAACAAGATCTGAAGACAAGGCAGACCAAATTTAGGCTCACAGTTTAAAGCAACTCTGTTGGATGCATCAAAGTGGTGCTGATGACTAGTTTTAATGTAATATTCCTTTACATTCTATGCTAATTGTTACAAGTGAAGCAAAATGCATTCCTAATCAGATAAAAATATATCATAAATGTTTGTACATGTTGCATTTCTCTGTTTATGCTTTTCTTCACTTTGCTTTTGAGGGATTCTATTTTTGACATTAATTTCTCACCTGGTATATATTTTTTACACCTATCCAATACATGTAACTCTGCTGTGAGCTCGTTTTTAATTTTCTCCTCCCACCCCCACACACTCCTTTGGAGAAACGTCTATAGCTGCCTTCACATCCCCTGCTGTCTCTTTTATGAAGCACACATTTTCAACAGCTCTCTTTACATTAGCTTCCTGCACTCCAGTTCACTCAACCCTCCTCCAGTAGCTCCCTCATAGCACAGGCCTTTTATAGTAAGGAGTGGGATTCTGTAAATAATACAGTGCCTCCCAATAGATGCCTCTGTGTGCAGACCGTGTGCATTTGTGTGGCGTTTCAAATAAACACATTCTCCTTGCTGTTGGCTCCTGAGACTCACCATCAGTTATCTATCAATGTCAGCAGCTTAGGTGCACAAAGCACAGCCATGCATTTGCTCAAACAATGGGAATGTCCAATTGAATAATTGTCAGATTCATTACTTTAACAACAAAAATCAATGACAAAGCAATAAAATAAAATAAAAACGATTTAATGAATATCTAACTTGCTAAATAGTTGTATTATCTTAGAATGACGCAGTTTAATAAATTAGTTCTACATATTTTATAACAAGAAAGTCTATACTACTGTCATAAAAAGGAAGAGGACTACTGTTCAAAGTGACTAAAGAAGAACATGGAGGACTCGGAGGCACTGACTTCAGGCTTGCTTTAAAATTATTTAGTAGTAAAAGCTGTCAGGTTGAATTTATTTTAAACCGGTTCATTAAAGAGTAGTGACAAATTAGTACGTATTAGGAAGGTACTGACTTACTTGTTACTTTCTTTTGTTACATTTTTAATTGTATAGTTTGTCCTCTTTAGTCCCTCTGTCCTAATTCACAAAGGTAGTGTTGGATCAAAGTTTCAAGAACTTTTCAACAGTTATGGGAGTGTCAACACCACTGGCTGAAATACAGTCGTAAACCAAAACAATACCTCTACTGCGTTTAACAGTTGACTGCAAACACTGTTTGACTTCTTTCCTGAACGACCCTGAACATATGGTTTAAAACATTTGTTTTATTTCAATTCATCACGAGCTGAATTTATAGTTTGTCCAATTTTTGAATAACTTTGCATGTTTCAATCCATTTTATTTATCTATAATCTATACATCCATCCATCTATATATCCATCTATTTATCCACCTAACCACCCATTCATCTATCATCTAACATTCATCTATCTAACCATCTAACAATCCATCCATCATCCATCTATCCATCCATCCATCCATGTATCCATCCATCTAATCATTTAACCAACCATCAATCTATACATCTAACCATCCATTCATCTAACATCCATCTATCTAACATCTA